GCGGCACTTCTGGATGCGCTCCTCGAAAGTAGAACGGGTTCGTTTGACACGAACCCATTTGTCAGTTGACGGTTAGAAGGAGGACTCCGATGCGACTTAGCCACTTGATGTCTCTTGGACTTCAGATCCGCTTGGTAGTGGAGCCCATCCACTTGCTCCAAAGTCTCAGCAAATTGGCAGGCAAGACATTGGCGACGTCTCTGACGAGCCCTCTTCGATAAAGTATAGCGCCTTCAGCGGTCAACTCCTTAATAGAGGCGGTGTCCGGATCTATGGCTTTGGCTTTATCGGACGCTGGCGGATCGTTGTGAGATGCAAGTGTAGCGACGGTAGCGGGGAGATCGTCTCCTTAGGTATTCAGATCTAAAGACCAGCGGATCTTCCAAGAGGAGGAGGCCTTGCTGCACTTGCGAATAGAGGCGGATCGGGAGGAGGAGGAGGAGGAGGAGGAGACGTACTCCTCGAACTTCTGCTAGTCGAATTCGTATTCAACCTCTTCGTTCACCGGAATCTTGATTGTTGGCTGCGGCACGACAGCCTTGGCAGTTAGGCTGTTGGCTCCAACTGTGGTCGCCAGCTTATTTAGGGAGAAAGTTGATATCTTCATTGATGCATTCATTACAACTTCAGTCGTTATAATGACAACAAAAAAGATAGTCTTTTTATAAGACTCTTACACAATAAAAATGAAAAAAATACAACTCTCGTCAAAACAAACGCAACGGACGTTTATCCTCCGCTGCTTGCGTCGGATCTTGGCCTGTGATGAGGATGTTGATATCCGTGGACTACCAAATGATCAGATCAGATCCGGAGCTTCGTTGATTCGCTAAGAAATTAAGAAACCGAAGCAATTATCTCGGCATCAACGAGATAACCACTCTTCTCAAGATTACTGCAACGAGTCAATCTTAAGGCAAAGAACCAGGAAGTATAGATCTGACGAGCTCCTCTTCTTTATGCTGACGAACTCGATCCAATCTACTCCTCTCTTCTGAAATTCGTGCTCCGTCAGTCTTCAATTCAGCAGGGCTGCGTCAACGCTCGAGAATTCTAGATCTGAAAAATAAAGGTCCTAGGACTGTATTTATAGGCTTCATGAGCCATGTTTTCAGATAAGAACGACCGATTCAGTCTTATCTTCAGTTGTAACCACTTAACCATGTTTTTGGATGATATTTTATCAGTTAGAACAAATCGAGACGGTTAACAGTCAAAAAACAGCTTAAATCTGCCAAAAACAGTATTTTTGGACTGCGGACACCCGTGGGTGTCTCGACCATGCTTTGGTCGAGACACCATTTGGTGTCTCGGTCAAGCTTTGGTCGAGACACCACTTGGTGTCTCGGGCAAGCTTTGGCCTGAACTTAGTTTCATGCGTTCCATCCGTTTCTGCCGTATTTCATCGTCCAAACTCGGAATTACGTGGTTCAAGATGCGTCGGAAAGCTAACGAGGAGATCTATAAACTCCCATGGTTGAATCACATGTGAAGTAGACGGGACATGAGGGATGCTTCATCTTTCGTAAGTGACGCAGAGCTCCCAGTCCATTCGTGTTTCCTTATTCCGAAGTTCTGTTGTTTCGCATGGTTCGTCGACTCACTTCATGCGCTTGTCGTCATCAAATAAGTTTCTGTGACTCGGATAGCAACATTCATCATTTTTTTCTCTGTCTCGAGCCACTTGTGGGGACCTATAGGTAATTTTTGACACCTACAGTAAGCTTTAAAGACTAAGAACACATCTGCCTTCTTCGTGATAGGGTACACCCAAAATCTCCTAGAATAATTATCAATAAAGGACACAAACTATTTTGCTTCTTCTATGGATGTAACCGGTGCTTGTCATATATCAGAATGAATTAGTTCCAGAATAACATTGCTTCTAGAACTCGATGTGTTAAACTTCTGACGATGCTGTTTACTTGTAGAACAATGCTCGCAGAAAGGAAGAGCTATCGATTTGAGCCCATGAATCAGCTTCTGATCAAAGAGAATCTTCAAGCCTTATTATAACATGTAGCCTAGTTTCCAATATCACATCATGGTTTTTTCTTCTCCACGGCTAGTTGATGCCACACATGAATCAACTTCCTATAGGGTTTCTTCCTTGAACATGTATAGATTTGTAGCTATATTTTCTCCTTTTACCACAATAAGTACCCCTCTAACAATTTTTATTATCCCATTTTCTATATAGATTTTTCATTTGAGCTCATCCAATTGTCCTAAAGACAATAGATTCTTTTTCAAGCCTTTCACATGTTATACATCTTGAATAGTACGTATTGCACCATCAAACATTTTAATTTTGACAGTACCAATGCCAGAAGTTTTCAAGGCATGATCATTGCTCATAAATACATATCTCCCTGAGAGAGGTTCATATTTATGAAACCATTCTTTCCGGGAGGTCATATGCCAGGAGGCTACTGAATCTAGAAGCCAGACATCAGCAAACATCTTTCTGCCCTTATTAACAGTGGTTACTCCACTGTATAAAATTTCACCATCGTTTGATGTGCTGACAACGCATCATTGAGATGTTGATAGCTCTGAAGACTTTTTATCATCATTCTTCTTATTGTGCCAGCACTCCGATTACACATGCCTTTTTGCCGCAGTTGTAGCATTTGATATTCTTCTTATTTATTGATTTTGAACTACCATGGGCATGATTCCTACTAGAGCAACGTTTCGATGATCTTCCACTTGTCATCAATGAGATATTCGCTTGTTACAAACTTGCTTGCATGTCTTCCTTAGTTTTACGCCGATTTTCTTCCTCCAGAACAACGACTGCAATGTTATTAAAAACTCGATTGTCCGTAAAGATGTTGTTTGTTAGGTTGATGATGAGCTGTTCATATGAGTCAGGTAGACTCTGAAGTAAAAGTTCTACATGTTCATTCATACTGATTGTATGCCCTAAAGTTGTGAGTTGGGAGAACAGTGTATTTAGCGTGTTGATGTGGTCGGTCATCACTGTAGATCTTGCCATCCTCATAGTGTAAAGTTTTCTTTTTAAGAAGATTTTGTTGTGCAGGAACTTGGCCTCATATAGCTTTATTAGAGCAATTCAGATCTCCTTTGCTATCTTCTTCTCTTCTATAATTGACATCACCCTATCTGCTAACGCCAGATGAAGATTTGTAATAGCATTTTCGTCCATCTCATTCCACTTCTTATCATCTATGATGTCATCTGGCCTTATATCGATGGCCGCTAGACAATTATCTTTTCTCAAAATAGCTTTTATCTTTAACTTCCACAGTGAGAAATTACTCCCGTTGAATTACTCAATCTCGAACTTCATTGTTATTGCTTCTATCATGAACATTGACTTCTACTATTTCACGTGAACAGTAACCATATTTATAAACAGTAACCATACTCGTAAATAATAACCACTCTTGTGAACAGTACCATGCTTTTAAATAATACGGTACTCATGAATAGTATTCAATGCCTTCAAAACATTCAATATAGATGAAGTACATCTTCATTCTAGATGTGAAGCTTAAGAAGCTACTATTAGTTCACAAATTCCAAAAATAAATGCTTAATGCCGATAAGAACAACTACTAAGTTCACATATTCCTCGGAGATAGGTTTCAATACTAAACTCCTTCCACTAATCTATTTCGCTCAAGTAATCATTTGATGGGCCAATTTTATTGATAAATAGTCATGTACGTCCACATTATCAAGTGAGGAATATTTAAACAAGGAGAGGGTATTGAATTATACCAGCATGTAGTACTACATCAAATGTTACATCACACTTTACATCCTCAATGACATACCTAAATGAAGTGTAGGAATATGAAATTTTTGATAAACTAACTAATAATTTCCTACTAACAAACTGTGTTATGCTATTGTAATCATTTAGGCCCCGTTTGGCAAATGATTAATGAAGAGGGGTTAAAGAAAATGATTAATGTACTTAGCCCATTTCATAATCCGAATGACTAAATTATTAACCCGTTAAATAAGTTTTATTTTAGCCCTTATGATTAGTTTTAGTGTTTGGGAATAACAATAATTTTGACTATTTTCTTTATAATTAGAAGGGTTAACTCTTATTCCATCTAAATAGGAGTATTAGTAAACCCCTCATTTTGAGGGGTTAACTTATTTTAACCCCTCTAGAGGGGTTAACTTAACCCTTCTATATTTTTTATGTTTGGCAAATTATGGAGGGTTAACTCACTTTAACCCTTATATAGATTTGTTGTGTTTGGCAGGTTAAGAAGGGGTTAAGTCTCCTTAACCCCTCACTTAACCCTTTGCCAAACGGTACCTTAGGTAGTTTCTTTGCCTCGAATAATTACTCAAGCTATAACATTGATAAGATTACATAAAGGAGGATAAAATCCTGTTTTTCAACACCATGACTATTGTCTAACAAGGAGATTTGATTGCACTGAACAAAGCATCAATTTGTAAATGTGCTATACCAGCTACCATCCATACATATTATAGGCTGCATTTGGGAACTAAGATTTGGACTTGGAATGTTGATTTAAAATTAAATGATTTTAAATTTAGGATTTTAAATTCATGATTTGATAGAATCTTTTGTTTGGATGTCTTTACAAAATGCAAGGATTTAAAATCAAAGATTTGAAATATAGTGTTTGGATACACTTTATTATATATGAACTTGGATTTCAAAGATAAGGAGAACTATTCTGTGAACAATTTATGATATACACATAGTTAATATATCTGAGTATCATGCTACTGAGCCCAAGCCTTTTTAAAAGGAAGGACCTGTCATGCACAAATAAAACTTTGAGAAGTGATTCAAAACCAAAATTGATCACCTCGATAGCAATTATAAATACTCATGCAAACATCTCATTCTTCATGAATCGATATGAGAGAATACAAATAATAATAATAATGTCCAAAATATTCATCATAATAACATTTTTTTTCATGGTTTTATCCACTACCATATTGACCTTTAGTCTGCAAAATAACAAGAGTACTGCTTTAAAAATTAGCCATGATAAAAGACTTGAAGACACAAAAGAGTATAGCGAACAATCCACATAAGAAGCTCTAGGCTACATAATAAGTCTTCATTTAAACACAATGTACTATAGGTGGTAGATAATCATGATTTTCTACAACAAGCTAAATTAACACACCATAAACTACTAAAAGAAACCATAACAATAATCGTATATTTATCCTTCAAAGTCTTCTCCTCATTTTTCTCCTATGCTTCCAACTCATGTATCGAAGAACTTATTGGATCCTACATTAAAAAATTTAGCATCAATTAGTTCATGAAACAAAATACGCTCTAAAAACAGAAATAATATCTACTACAATGGCAAATCACAACTATAAGTGTGCATCCTAACATAAATGACAAAATAATGAGAGTTAAATATGCCCTAAAAAAGAAATCCAAGAGAGAACTTACTCAAATGAGTTAAAAGATTTGGGGGTTCTTGTCATCCAACTAGAAACTACTTCTTAAGACTAAAAAGAATAAAATCTCTTTTTTCATCANAGGAAGTGACTTCAACAAATAAAACTTTTACGGGTTGCTATCCATTATCTTCTCAAATGCATTGAACACTTGAATACAACTTAAGTTGGGTATTTTTGAGACCACTGATGTATCTCCTCTCAGGTTGGTGGTTTTCTTACTACTTCCTTCTTTCTCTCATTGAAATACTCACTCATAGAAGTTATCATCACTGCAAGTGAATCAACCATTTTATTCCCCTTCTTTTATTTCTTTGAACTTGTCTCACTACTAGTTGATGCTCTAGGAAGATATTTCCTTGAAGAGCTTCCACCTTTGTTTGTTTCAGATTGTGCCTCAGATTCCTCATGTTGTATTGCGTTAGCAGACTCTTCAAAGATTTTTGTACCTTCACCATTGGCTCTAGTTTTTGCACATAACACCATAATATCATCCTAATTTTCAATCAAACGATTCTGGTAGCCTTTTGCATCTGGATTAGGCTGCAATATAAGAATATTCACAAATATTTTTAGATATATGTAACGAACTAATAATTCAAATTAATAAGTATAAAGTGCAATATTACCGTAACATTATCACTCCATACTTTTTGCTCACTAGCGGGTATAATCACCATTTTCTTCTCAACATCCCACCACGTCAAACCACTTCTATTTTTTATGTCATAGATAATATTATAATGTATTTTCAAAAATTTGAGTCAATTCTTCACGTTATCTTTGTTCAAATTGCTATTAAATGATTTTAGTACATCAACCGCAGCTTGATACACTTGAGGCTTCCAAGTACCGTTGATTTTTAGTCCTTGGTTCATTAATCGAACAACACATTAGCTAAAACTGAGTCCATATCACGATTCCAAACAATATATAATCTTGACTGAGATGCAATTTGTTTCCCTTTCTTTATCATCCTAATACATACCAAAGTGAATGACATAGAATGAGTAATAAAGAATTAGCAAATCATGATAACCGGAAAAAGGAATGCAGATAATGACCAGGATGTATTTATCATAGTAAGATAAGGAGTAAATTCTACTTATAAAATAAGAAAACATCCTAGGCATCAGACAACTGAGAACTTTCGGAATGTATGAATCAGATCAAGCTTAACAATTTCTTTTCCAAAACATGCCCCTTGGAAGAGTTGACATCAAATAGGACAAATGACACATTATGCTTAATCCCATATAATACCCACCATGTTTGACTTTAAATGTATACCAAACATCATCTAGATAGGAAGAAAAAAACATCTAGCAATTTTTGTTGATGATTATAGAAGTAGCCTTAGCTAAGAGTAACGTATTGACGCTAGCTTATGAAATATAATTCTAAGCTACACAACAAGCACGATAACCATGGACAAGAAGATCTATGCACGATCCAAGTAACAACGAGAACATGCAAATCCATGAATAAAAAATTCAACTTCCAATAAATGAGTATATATTTACAGCACCAAAATTATGTTCCCAGAAAATATTTGTATAAACACGTTACTTGTTCAAACTTTTTTCTTTGTGAACCTGGAGTCCTAAGCAAGCGTCGAAGAGATTCATTGCTTAATTTCAGAGTGACTGCAAAATTTACAAAAATATACTTGTAAACTATAATGCTGCATTATGGAATAAATATTGGGTATTGATAGATCCAAGATAAGTCATAGACATATACTACTTTTGACTGGAAAATTCAATATAGTACAAACTGACACCAAAAAAAATTTTAACCATTTTTAAGCTCACATAGTATGTATTTTTCTCACATTTGTAACATGCAGACAACTTAGAAATAGACAAGACAAGTAGAACACAACCAGTCAACAACATCTTCATACTTGTCACCCTCATTTTCATAGCTAAAATCAACTACTAAAGTATCTCAAAGTCAGTATTCATCCCACATTTGCATAGCTAAATCATCTCTAAAGTTGCTCCATTCATCTGTAACTCTTATAGTGGTGATACGCTCCTCATCTACATTCTCAATTTCTAAAACAGGAGCATATTCTAATTCTCGATCCATATCATTCAACAAGTCGTCTTCATTCATCTCTTCACGTAAAAAGTTGGGAAGAATACAATATGCATTAATGATCCTAATTTGAGTCTTAACACTATAAAAGCTAGCTGTCCGTAATATAGCTCATCGCTTTTTTAGCAATCCGAATACCCTCTTAATTGTGTTTCTAGTAGAGAAATGACGTTGGTTAAATAACTCCTTGTAGTTTCTTGGACCATTTTCTCTCCAAGACTTTATATGATAGCGAGTCCCTCTATAAGGTGCCAAAAACTCTGACCCATTTGTATACCCAGTATCCACAAGAAAGTATTTATCTACAAAATCAAAATCTTTAGTCACAACTGTTTGGGTCAAAAGTTGATGTTTTCATTGTCATCGAATCTATTACAACTTTGGTCATTACAATAAACTCAAACGAAAAGAAAAGTTGATCTTTTTATAAGATCTTTTTACACAATGAAAAATAAAGATTACAACTCTTGTCAAACAGCGCAACGGACGTTTATCACTCGCTGCTTGTGTGGGTTCTTTACCTGTGCCGGGGACGTTAATATCCGTGGACCACCGTGGATCAGATCCGGTTAGCAGAAGTTGGATAATCAATGCTCTCACTTCACAAAGAAAGTAATTACAGTAGCAGTGATTTTGACTAAGCAAAATCACGGCTCTTCTCGGGATTTAAGACCAAGCTTAAATCCAGAGGAATAGGGGACGAGTCTCAGATCTATCGAACTCCACTCTTTATGCACAGGAGATCACTAAGATCTGCTAACCCTTGTGTTTGGGTCAAAAGTTGATGTTTTCATTGTCATCGAATCTATTACAACTCTAAGATCTGCTAACCCTTGTGTTTGGGTCAAAAGTTGATGTTTTCATTGTCATCGAATCTATTACAACTTTGGTCATTACAATAAACTTTTCATTGTCATCGAATCTATTACAACTTTGGTCATTACAATAAACTCAAACGAAAAGAAAAGTTGATCCTTTTTTAAGATCTTCTTTACACAATGAAAAATAAAGATTACAACTCTTGTCAAACAGCACAACGGACGTTTATCATCCGCTGCTTGTGTGTGTTCTTTGCCTATGTCGGGGACGTTAATATCCATGGACCGCCGTGGATCAGATCCGGTTAGCAGAAGTTGGATAATCAATGCTCTCACTTCACAAAGGAAGTAATTACAGTAGCGGTGATTTTGACTAAGCAAAATCACGGCTCTTCTCGGGATTTAAGACCAAGCTTAAATCCGAAGGAATAGGGGACGGGTCTCAGATCTCTCGAACTCCACTCTTTATGCGCAGGAGATCGCTAAGATCTGCTAACCCTTGCTGTAAATTCGTGGCTCCACTCTCCAATTCGGCAGCACTTCGTCCTCTTGATCTCTTCTCCTTTTGAATGAGCACCCGAGCTTCTATTTATAAGCTTCGGGAGTGGGTATTTGGATAAGAACAAGAGATTCTTCTCTATCTTCAATTGAGAACTGAATAACCATAGTATCAGATCGGTTGGAACGTTCAGGAACAAACAAATCCCAAGAAAACCGTCAAAACCGAAAAATCACATTTCTGACCGAACTGTCACCTGGTGGCTCGGCCTGGCCGGGCCACCATTTGGTGGCTCAGTTTTGGCCGAGCCACCATTTGGTGGCTCGGTCGCCGAGTCACCTTCTGGTGATCTGGCTTTGGGCCGAACCACTGGTTCGGCCGAGTCGTTTTGATGTGACTCGGCCGCTAGCGGATTTTATTGGTTTTTCGGGTTTTGACTTGTTCCGTCGTTACGCGTATTTCGTCGTTTCGTTGATCTGTACGCTGTTTTGGTGGCCGATGAGCGTGCGAGCCACTTGGTTCGACCATTTGGTGGCTGGTGAGTACATGGGTCACTTGGAGGTGGCCGGTGAGCGCACATGTTATTTGGTTCGCCGTTTCGCTTCATGTGTTCATCAGCGTTGGATAATCCTCTTAGACTTAGATAATGACATTCATAACCTTCTCTCTATCTCGACCTGTGTGTGGATACTTATAGGCATTTTTAGACGTCTATAGATACCCCCTCCAAAGTATTTCAGACTCATTCTTTCATAAGGGAGTCTGGAATGCTTTGGATGTGATAGGCTCAACCTTCATTCGGTGTGAAAGGACCTGTGAACTGCTTTAATTCTTAACTTCTTCAGCCTTCAATCTATCCAGTGTTTTGTCGAATAGATGAAGTACTCTCGGTGCTGCGTTTATCGTCTGACCGTTGTCGAAATCTTAAATCAAAATTGGTGAGTTAGTTTTGGCTTGTATCATTGAGTTAACTTTGAACTGATTATCTTCGTTGTAATGCGTTGACCGGCGTTAACACAGTTTATACTCGTATGTTTGCTGGAGTCTACACAGTTTAAGCTCTTAAGGCATTGGAGCGTGACGATCCCAAATTTTAGGGCTGCAGGACCAACTATGAAAGTTGTTTCGTTTGCAGATATGGATCTTATCCCAAAGCTGTTGGATACTCAAGTCACGAGACCAACTAATGAAGCTGATGCGTTAATGACTCTCATATTTATAGGATTTTTGGCAAACCCTCAGCCATCAACGGGTTTGATTAGCCTTTACCGACTACCGTTTGAGTCGGGCTAGCATGCAGATTGTTTAGACCCGTTCTGCACATAACGTTGTGCTAAAAGAGTTAATTCTTTTAGTGCTACGATATTGAATACGTAGACTTTGTCTTTCTCACGGGAATAGACTACCCGGCAACGCGTGTTAGACGCTGACTTAGGATTTTTTGGCAAATTCTCAGCCTTCAACGGATTTGAGGTGCCTTTACCGATTACCGTTTGAATCGGGCTTGCATGCGGATTGTTTAAGTCCGTTTCGCATGTAACGTTATGCTAAAAGAGTTAACTCTTTTAGTGCTACAATATTGAATATGTAGACTTCGTCTTTCTCACGGGAATAGACTACCCGGCAACGCGTGTTAGGCGCTGACTTATGTGACGTTGTGCTAAAGGAATGAACTCCCTTAGACTTGATGCTACGATATTGAATACGTAGACTTCGCCATTGTTACGGGAATAGTCTACCCGGCAACGTGTGTTAGACGCTGACCTATCCCTACTTAGGCTTCGGGATAAAAGTCCCCAGATTCGGATTCTGGTGTCTTCTTCAAACGGTGAAAGACTAAACCGATAACGCGTGTTAGGCGTTGACTTATCCCTACTCAGGATTCGGGATAAAATTCCCTATGCATAAAAGGCATGGATTTTTGTTGCTACGATGTTGAATACGTAGACTCGGTCATTTTCACGGGGACGAACCACCCAGCAGCACGGGTTAAGCGCTGACTTATCCCTACTTAGGCTTCGGGATAAAATACCCCAGACTGGTATTCTGGTGTCTTTTTCAATCGATGAAAGACTAAACCGGCAACGCGTGTTAGGCGTTGACTTATCCCTACTCAGGATTCG